ATTAAATATTAACGCAATGAAGGGTGAAAAAAAGATGGACTGCTTTGAAGTTCAGATGACGCACACCTTGTGTTTCTCCAGAAACTCGGGCGTGAGAGTCCAAGGTGCGTCCCTCAGAACTTCGTCGACGTAGCGGCAGTGCCTCAGCGCTTCGTAGCGTTCGTGCTCCGTCATGACGGTGAAGCCCTTGTACTTGTGGGTCAGCTCGTCACTGCAAACTGTGCAAAAATAACAACAAAAAAAAAAGGTTAAACTTGAACAAATTTGATTGGTTGGATCAGATTTTTATTGTGGATTGTTCGGAGGGTCTAACCTCCTACTATGAGGTAAGTGTTGGGGAAAAGGTTCTTGGCCTGCATGAGAGCACGAGCGTGTCCCGAGTGGAACAAGTCGAAGATGCCGTCTGCGTAGACTCTGACGGGTCGATCCACTGAAAGAAAAATAACAGACAAGCACAACAATCTGCCATTAGTGCTATTATTGCTGCCAAAAGATAGGGAAAAAGTAGCTTTGACACCAACAGAAACTGAAAGTATGGGATCAATCTTGTGCCATCAGGAATTGAATTTGAATTGTTCAGATTGAATCTGTATGTGCASAATTTGAAATTGAATGTATTGGTTTGAAAATGAATTTTACTAAATTGAAACTGAATTTAAAGTTTTGTATCTGAATTAATTTCTTGTGAAACTGTATTTTGGTCTATTAAAAATTCAGTTCAACTACTTTCACTTTCAGTTCCAAAATCCAAATATTTTAGTATGCAACTTTTGTATGTTTCAAAATTATTGATCTTTCAAATATTGGCCCCAAAAGAACACAAATACAAGACCTCTTCACTTCCTTAGTTAGCTAGTTTTAGCTTTTACCTTTTAACTACCTTTCAATTTAGCCAGCCTTTTGCTAAACTTAGTTTGAAGCTAGTCTTTTTCCAACTTTTAGCTAACACTTTCCTGCTTTTAGTTAGCCTCTTGCTACTTTTTGGTTCTAGCTAAAATAAATTGGCTGCTTTTAGGTATTAGCTTGCTTTTATATCTATCCTTTTGCCAGTTTTGCTGCTTTTAACTGTGTTTATTCCTCATAGTTTTTAGCCTCGTGCTGCTTTTAGGTTCTAGCTAAAATAGCTACTTTTAGCTGGCTTATTACTACATTTTGTTATTTAGCTCACCTTTTGCTAATTTTAGGTAAGACTTTGTTGCTTTTAACTAGCCTCTTGCTACTTTTAGATTCTATCTAGAAATGAGCTACTCTTAGCTTTTAGCTGGCTTTTTGCTACATTTCATTTTTAGCTCACATTTTGCTAATTTTAGCTTAGCTAAAATTAGCAAAATGTGAGCTAAAAATTACTGCAATAAATTGTTTGTTTTTGTCACTTTTACGGTGGATTGCATCAAATCTGTTACATTACAGAAGGGAAACTTCCCCAAAGTGAAACATAAATCTGTGGATCTGTGTTTGATTACTCTGGCTGGTTTCTCAAGGACCAGGATGTGACACAATAATCTGAATTTTAGAACTGAAATTGAAAGTAGTCAAACTGAATTTTTAATCAACCAAAATACAGTTTCAAAGCAAATTAATTCAAATTCAAATCATGAAATTCAGTTTCAATTTAGTGAAATTCATTTTCAAACCAGTGCGTTTAATTTCAAAATATGTACATTCAGGTTCAATGGGCCTCATGCAAGAACATGTTCGTATTC